TTTTGCACTATGGTAAAATTCTGATGTATTGTGGCTTTTGTTTTGAATCTAGCTAATTCATCCATCCATCCATCCATTATCCATACCGCTTTATCCATCTGGGTCACGGGGAAGCTGGAGCTAATCCTAGCATCTTCAGGCGAGAGGCGGGGTACACCCTGGGCAGGCCGCCAGTCCTCTAGCTAATTCAATGAGTTAATAAAAATACATTCGACTTCAAAGCTGGTGATCATGTGATAAATTCAAAGTGTGACCCATTAGCTGACAATAAGTACAATTCTGAGAATCTGTTGCACACCACGGCCTTTTGAAACACCACGTCTTACAGGATGAGCTTTTTTACACTTGCCTGAAATAATAAGGGCCCAGAAGACATTATGAAAACTTATATCTCTTTCCATACCTAAGAAATAGATTAATGAGGTTTAATTCTGCCATCATTCCTTGAAAGCTGCAGGGAGGCTGGTACAGGCATCCATTTCATCCCAGCTGGGACTCTGAACTGAGAAGTTAGAATGAGGACGAACAAGAGGCCCTCCTTGACTCACAGGTACCAGACAATCAACCTCTTGGTTGTTCAATGGTTTCCCAGCGAGGGAAAGGTGAGCATTTGGAACAGCGTCTGTGGTCGCCTTGGCTTAGCAGGCTAATGGGATTCGTCATTAAGACACGTCTCTCGATATGTCCCAGAATGTGTGAAAGACACCATATTTTCACAGCAGTGCTTCGGACGGCTGAAGCCATCAGCGGATGGAGCAATCCCACTCATTACAAGAAAGGAGTGAGAAATCGCAGCCTAATGCCACTGTTTCCCAGTCACTCATTAATTTTCTCTCATCTCCCTTTTCCATTATCGAGGCGGGATCAGTCATTGCGATACAAATTGAGAAAAAATTACTACTATCATCACAGTGCCATCAGAATTTATTAAAACAGTTTTTCAAGCATCTCAGGTTTCTTCTATACACAACAAGTTTTGATCCCACCGACACGCCTTCCAATGAGGAAGCAGAGTCTGGGGACTTGAGGGTGGACTCCCCTATCTCTGGGGCGGAGGTTGCTGAGGTGGTTCAGAGTAGAGCCGCTGCTCCTCCACATTGAGAGGAGCCAGATGAGGTGGCTCGGGCATCTGGTCAGGATGCCTCCTGGACGCCTCTCTGGTGAGGTGTTCCAGGCATGTTCCACTGGGAGGAGGCCACAGGGGAGACCCAGGACACGTTGGAGAGACTACGTCCCCCAGAGGAGCTGGACGAAGTGGCCGGGGAGAAGGAAGTCTGGGTTTCCCTGCTTAGACTGCTGCCCCTGTGACCCAATCCAGAAAAGTGGTAGATGATGGATGGATGGATGGACAAGAAGTTTTGTACCATGTAGCAAACCTTAAATACGTCCCTCTCAGATTCTTCAGAATAGGGCATGAGGACAGAACAGGGCATGGGGACAGAATAAGTTGCTTAGCAGAAGTTTGTTCTTCCCAGACAGAACAGGGCATGGGGACTCTTGATAAGTTGCTTAGCAGAAGTTTGTTCTTCCCAGACAGAACAGGGCATGGGGACTCTTGATAAGTTGCTTAGCAGAAGTTTGTTCTTCCCAGAGTGACATACACAAGTTAATGACTCCCGCTGTACATATAAATCAGCAACTGAGAGTGATAATTACTGCTTCCTCTCCACTCAGCACTTACTTCCCTTCCACTAAAAAGGCAGAATCCTCGCTTTCTTCACAGGGTGAGGGACATCAAACGTGACTTAGGTATTTCATGCTCCCCCTGGCTGTTTTGAGATGGAAAGCTGAACATGCTGAGTTGACCAGGTTCTATCCTCAAAAACAAAATGTGCCATAATGCCGAATTTGCAGATGTTTCATTGTTGTTTTTTGCTTTTAATGAAAAAGAAGCTTCTGGAACAGATGGAGCTTCACAAGGATGTTTTATCACAGAAAATTTAATTAAAGTAACGACAAACAGATTTTGTATCTCCTGCCTTTTTTTTTTTTTTATCAAGACCACTTTCTTGAGTTTGTAGTGCTTTTATTTGCACATTTTCTTAAGTACTTTTCTTGTAAACTTCTTTACAACAGCAAGTTAGGAGAGGATGGTGGGATCTCATAAGGCTTGACTTTCCCATATAACATACTTGCTCCTGATCTCTCCTAAAATTCCCGGCTGAATTCAAAATTCATAACAAATAACAAAGGCCATTCAGCGCAGTGCCAGAGTTCTTCTTAAAACTCATAAGATGCTAGTTGAAAGGGCACAGAAATCTGCTCACAGAATAGAGAGTAACACTAAGCACAGTACAACATTATAACAACTTTTCTTCTGAAAATAATTATATCCTTCGTCCAACCAAATAAAATACTGGAAATGACTTAAATTACGTAATAATGGAGGTTTCAAAATACTGCATGACGAGCTGCTACCCTGCTGTGTGCAATGTCAGTCAACCAAAATAAATATATATTTTTACTAGGGCTGATCTTATTTTGGAGCGGTTTAGCTCGCCGTCCCTTTAAGACAGGTGCCATCTTGGGTGAAGGTAGCCCACATGCTCATCGGGCATCCACACTGAAGTCGACCTGCCGTCTTCCTGTGTGCTCGCTCTCTGCATCTGGCCCATCCTCGAGCATCCTGTTGGCATGGACACCCCCCCCCCCCCCCCCCACCCCCACGTCCACCCACCCTGGCTGCAGCCCCTCTGGAGCTGGAGTGAGCATGAATCCCAGGGAATTGCGACTAATGAACCATTAACACTCATTTCCAAGCTGTTCACCCCCCACCCCAGTTAAGATCATCTAGCTGTACAGCAAATCCTATCAAAGGGACAAGAACAGCATTTGATGAAACAGACCTTCACTGGCTATTAAGGGAGCCCTAGAGACCCCAAATTTAGTATAAAAGGTACTGTGTTATTGTTTAGTTGGCAGGGGCTCCAGGTGCACGTCGGTGTAAGGTACCCCCATAAGACACCAGAATAAGGTACAGCAAACACTGACAGAAAATACAGCACATACAACAGACAATGGAAGCAGACACCTGCGTAAGGTACAGCAGACACCAGAGTAAGGTATAGCAGACACCAGCCAACACTGGGGTAAGGTACAGTAGACACCAGCTGACACCGGAGTAAGGTATAGCAGACACCAGCCGACACTGGAGTAAGGCACAGCAGACAACAGAGTAAGGTACAGCAGACACCAGAGTAAGGTATAGCAGACACCAGCCAACACTGGGGTAAGGTATAGCAGACACCAGCTGACACCGGAGTAAGGTATAGCAGACACCAGCCGACACCGGAGTAAAGTACAGCAGACACCAGCTGACACTGGAGTAAGGCACAGCAGACAACAGAGTAAGGTACAGTAGACAACAGAGTAAGGTACAGCAGACACATTCAGCAGCAAAAATGCAAACGAAGCTGTTATCCATAACGTCATGCTTCACATTAGCCAACAAAGGAGATTTGCCTGGATTTTCCTTTAACTGCTGCGACAAATCTGCTCTACACAGCAACAACTTCATTACGAGACGAGCAGAACATATGCGTTGTCCAAACCTAGGCACGGTCTGCCACATGGCTGACGCAATTAGACGCAAACTGTAATTTAAGGAGAAAATTAAGATGTGATTAGAAATATAGTGGCAGGATGGATATAGGAGGCCCGTATTACCTCACGTCAATGTAGATGTCTTGCCAGGAACAGCAAAGCTGCCTTGTAAGGAACTTTTTCAGTTGCACTGCTGACTTTTGGGGCATGTATTTAAAATGCTTACTTTTTTGATTTATTTCAGTGTATATATCAGGTCAAGCTGTTTACTTCAGAGTGACAATGGGTGACAGGGTGGCTTTTTGTGTAGTATGATCACATGAGATGCAGGTTTGGCCCCAGAGCTGCATGCCCAGGGTCTGTGCCGTGTCTCCATAGCCACCTAGACTACTTCCCACAGTTCAGAGAAGTGCCATTCAGTTAAACTGACTCGTCTAAAAATGCCCTTTGTGTGTGTGTCCTGTGATGGACTAATTCTTCCTGGGGCAAGCTCTGGATCGCTGGACGAATACTGAAAATGGACTGATAAATTTTAAATTATCCATTGGGCTGCATTTGAAAGGGAAAGAATTTCTGGAGACAGCATTATTTAAAAAATAAAATACAGTTATGAACTGAACCGAAGGGCACAGTATGAGTGGCAGAGAAAAACCTTCACTGTCAACAGAACCACATTTAAAGCTCAGGTTTAAATGAGTTAAAGTTTCAAAATGTTTACACTATCTTGAATTCCCAGTACATCGGGCTTTTTGGGCACCCATACAATTCACTGTAGCCCGCCTGATTGAAATAGGTATCTGTTGTTGTTTTCACGGACTCGCCAACACAACACAGCGAGTAGAACCTCCCGCCTGGAACAGCCAATGAACAAATGACAATAAAACTAATTCAAGGCCCGGTAAGCCTTAGAGATGGGAGACAGAGCATGATTTTACCATTGTTCTCAGAAACTTGAACATTTTGTCCTTCCACTAGTCTTAATTTAAGCCTCTAAACATCCTCCTGAAATGGTTTGGTATCACACACAAATTTCAGTAGTTTCTGAAGACAGACTTGTAAAGGCAGAGTTGATCTATCATGAGTGCAAACACATTTAAAACAAAGCCGGCATGGATATATTTTACTGCTAATTTAACTGTCAGTTCCAAAGCACTTTGAGATGTAATTTGGCGTGTAACAAGTAATGTATTCCACAATATTGTCTCTAATTGCCCCATTCTGGCATTTTTCAAAATTTCAATAATATGGGTAATGAGGTATAGAAAGTAAACCGCATTAAATTCCGCTTTAAGGAGTAGCTCTGCTATCAAACAGCAAATGCATCTGTCCTTTTAAGATTATTTATGACTCACTTCCATCATCATCTATTTTTTTGTTGATCTGTAGGCTCTAATTACAGAAAACATCTGGTGACAGTATTAAGGATGAAGTGCTTAAAATGTGCACCGAAGGCCTTGGATATTAAACTGACCATTTATTGGCACATTTATGACTAGGAGGATGCAGGGTGGAATTTTAACAAAAAAAAAAAACATATTAATACATGTCTGAATATGAAGTCTGATATACTTTTGTTGTAACATCTATCTATCTAAACACACAGAAAGATTTTATAACGTACAAACACAGAATCAGTCAAAAGTTTGGACATATCTACCCACAGAAAGGTTTATTTGTATTATTCTCCAGAATTTAGAATAATTATAAAGACATCAAAACTACAAAATAACATATATGGAATTATGCACTTAACAAAAATTGTATTTGAGACAAACTCCCCCAAAACTATTTCTACTGTGATTAGGTCAGGTGGCCAGGTCATGTGACGCTACAGCATCACTTTCCTTCATAGGTGGCTTGGTTTGTCTGAACTTTTGACAGGCACTGTAAACACACACACTGAAACATCACATTTAGACAGTATCATCAAAAATAATGAAATTTTAATACCTTTTGTGGCTTCATTTATTACATAGTTTGTGACCCAGCAGATTTTCGTTTTTCACTGTTTCTTGAAATACCTCGCAACAAAAAACAGTTCTGATGACTCTTTCCTGCTGGATTTTGGCTTTACAACCTTTACTTCTCGGAAAATGTTGGCAAGTCTGTTCTGAAGTTGCCCAGCTTTACTCCCGTCCCAGTACTTGCATACCAGGGCACCCTCTGATCGCAAAACCTTCTCGGCAAAGTCCACCACGCACAGGCACATTGCGATCAGCTTTTCGTGGTCCATTTCCCTGAAGCCGCTGGCGTTGGGGGCCATGTCGCTTAGGATGACATCTGCCACCCCATCGGGAAGGAGGTACCGCAATTCTGTCTGCGTGGCTGAATCGGTGAGATCGCAATTAGAGAGAAAGTGGGCTCCATCCAAAGGAGGGATGCGGAGAAGATCCACGCCAACCAAGAAGCCAACCAGTGATCCGGGATCTGAACAGAATGGTCAATGCTAAATAACGTATAAATCAATGTCACTCATCATACAGATCCACGTTAATATTAAATCTTATTTACCTGTCCCCACTGAATTGATCCTTTGAGCCGCGACCTGGCTCCACGCCCCTGGTGCGGCGCCGCAGTCGATGACGCTGAAGCCTGGTTTGAGGAGCCCGTACCGATCGTCGATTTCCAGCAACTTAAAGGCGCTCCTGCAGCGATAGTTGTGTACATGAGCGGCCTTGACGAAAGGGTCGCTGAGCTGCCGGACGATCCAGCGCTGCTCCGTGCTGCTCTTCCCTTTAAGATTCCGCGGCGTCTTTTTAAAAGTTCGCGCTGAAAGGTGCAGGTGCCTCTGCAGAAAAAGCAAGCTGTTCATCGTAACAGATGCATCAGAAACTCAGCCCGACTAGAGCCCAGCTGCATTTATCTGCGTGTCTGTTTGACTTTGTTTAGTAAGGTTAGTACATACAGTATGAAACATGTTTCTTGTTTCCAGTCGAACATCTTTCACTGCAGGACAGCGAGACGCGGACCACGTGATTCTGCAGAAAGCCGCGGGAAAACTGTCACATTATACATGTATTAGGGGATCGGCTGCATATCGGTTTATTCTTTATCATCAGCTGTTGCATTTCGCATTCATTCATCGCTACTCTTTTGGGTATTTGAATATAATTTGTTTCAGAAGTGCTAGCTTGCAGCATATGCTATTGGAAGCTGTAGCAGGATGCGATATTAATCATGCTCTTTTTAGTTTTCCATATTTGTTTCCGTTTGCTTGTTTATAACTATGCTTTCCCATTGCAATACTTGCCTACGTGTTTTTGTTGGGGAGTAATATGTTGCACAGCGTAACCTTAGCTTGTAAAATAAGGTTTAATGTTAAAATAATAATTGCAGATACGTGGCGTGCTATGCAGTTCTTATTGACAATCCGTTTAATTAGATGCACGATAAACGTAAATAAACAATGAAAGTCGTCGGCTGTCTCTGCCTCTTCCAGTGGAGCGATGTTGACGAACAAACTCTTCACTTTGGTGGTGGTGCGTCGGCCCGGGATGGTCTTGCTTGGGATGAAGAAGAGGGGCTTCGGCGCAGGAAGGTGGAATGGTTTCGGAGGCAAAGTGCAGACTGGGGAAACCATCGAACACGCAGCTAAGCGGTAAAAGATAGCCGGCGGCGACAATTAACTGATGACAATGAGAGCTTTTTTGTAGAACTGATACCGCGATGAGTGAGATTCCACAGTGACTTGAATTTCTTGTTCTTGCAGCGAGCTTTGGGAAGAAAGCGGCCTTACCGTAGACACACTGGTCAAGATCGGAAACATCAAATTTGAGTTTGTCGGCGAGACGGAGATCATGGACGTTCACGTATTCAGGGCGGACTCCTTCAGTGGAATCCCTACCGAGTCAGAAGGTACCTGATTTCTGTTGCCTTTCATTTCTTAGACATGTTGATGGAAGTTAAAGAAAACTGTAAAAGAGAAATGCGAAAGAAACATGTGAAAGGCATGATTGCACTCATACAGACTCTGCTCTATGGAAGAACTTAAAAAGGAATAAGGGTAGCCTGTACTGCTGGTTTCCCAGAAGGAAAGTATTTGCAAACTGTGTTGCTCCAGTGTTTTTTTTTTCCCAGAATACCAAGCATTCTTAGGAGCAGAGTGTGTCAGTATGCATATGTACATATATTTAGGAGTTTGGGCGAGTGAGTAAAGGAGTGGTTCCTTTTTGGGATGCCAGCATCATATTGCTGGTGCATCCATTAATTTAAAATCAGTCTTGACTTTAGACTGTATATTGAGGTGCTGTGTTTGTAGAATAAATATACATATAGACAGAGGTGGCAATTTCAGGTCCAGAAAGTAAAAATCCAGATTTTTTTTTCAATCAACCAGTTGAGTACTCTGTGACTGTGACTCTTTATGCTCAACTGGTTGGTTGAAAGTAAATCATCGTCTGGGTTTTTACTTTCTTGACCTGAAATTGCCGCCTCTGCATATAGAACAATAAAGGATGTGAATAGTTTACCTCTAGAAAAAAATGTCTGTGTGGAGAAATAACCTACTAACTAGTTTAACAATTGTTTTGTTAGTTTTGCACAATTAGTTTAGTATTATGCGTAATATGCAAGTTTGTGACTATGAAATTTATTTATATCCCATATATGCATATGTATTTGTGACATTAAGACCTTTGTTAGATTTTGGGGCCATATTTGCCTGCCTACAATGTCTTCTCCCCCCTTTGCAGAAATGAGGCCCAAATGGTTTGACTGCAGCGAAATCCCCTACGACCAGATGTGGCCCGACGACATCCTGTGGTACCCCCTCATGCTGCAGGGCAAGAAGTTCCTGGGCTACTTCAGGTTTCAGGGACACGACCTGATGCTCGAGCAGAAGCTGGAGGAGGTGCAGGAGCTCTGAGTGGGAGAGTGCGGCCATTTAGCTGCCATCTGCCAGGAAGTGCGGGTCGGCGTGGCAGCCCTGGCCACTGTGTGCTGGTTTTCATACTCATTCGGGAAGCGAGGAAGCGGGAGCATAAAAAGGAAGCAAAAATGTGTCCGCCTACTGTAATGTCTCAGTGGAAGTCAAAGCAACCCACAGCATTCTTTCCTTGTAATCCATTTCAAAATTCAAATCCAGAGTAAACATTAAGGTTTTTCCCTCTTTTACTTGCTTCTCGTGATGTGTAGAGACTGCTACAGCTCTCTAAACCTATGTGGTATCTCAGTGCTTTTTTTGCTTTAGAAGAGAGTCACAGTAGGGTGTAATATAGCTAAAAATATGGAAATGTGCAAGTATTTAGAAAGGACATGGATATTGTACTGGTGACTGGTGGCGCTGATTCGTCTGCTAAGACCCACTGACCTGCACCCGAGTCTCCTGTGAAATACTCTTCTGCTAAATAGGGTGATTGATGTTTAAACATTAGCTTTGGATTCAGAATGGACTGCTGGTTAGTTCCAGTGATGATGCACACGTTTGCCAGCTGATATTTTCAGAATGGTGCCGCATGACGGATACGGCCATAGCTGGGTCTCTCCCTCTGTTTTTCATGTTTTAAGAAAATATTGGCATGTTGGACCTTATTTTTTAAAAAAAAATAAAAATTATTGGTTTAATGCTCTGAAATTTGCAAGCATAGCTTGCAAATAATGGTTATGGATGTCTATTCTCAGAATGGTTAATGTTAATAGGAAGCGGAAACCAGCTGTCAATTTAAACAAATGATTTTTTTGTTTTCTAATTCATTTTAAATGTAGCTTGGGTTGTTTCCATTTCAGGACAAATACACAAGTGCACAAGTGTGTTTCAAAAACATTTCAGGCACTTTTCCCTAACAGAGACTTATTATAAGAATGACAGATAGTGTGGATGTATCAATACTAAATGCATAACTGCAGAAATTGACTATCAGCCATCTGGAAATAATGTCCACACTTTGCATTTCTGTTGGACAAATGATTTATGTCCATTTCATTTCAAATACTGTCATAATTTAAACTGATTTGCTGTAATATCAAAGAAAACTGAAAATACATAGTAACGATGTACAATGTTTATTTCCATTTGCTCAAATATGGAAATCAGCTGTGATCAGTTATGAATAAATTTGGATCTTTGTTAAAAATGTCCTTTTTATAGTTCCTTTGTCTTTTTAACATGGAGTTTAATTTCATAGCACAGCGTGTCTAACAAACAGCACAGAGTAACCACATGGAAACCCATAAAGCAGAGGCGCAGGTACACGTGGCAGAAGCATCAACACTAAGTGGTCGTCTGGCCAGAGGTGGACATTTCAGGTCCCGAAAGTAAAAATCCAGACCAGGATTTTGTTTCAACCAACCATCCGAATATAAAGAGTCACAGTCAGAGTACTCAACTGGTTGGTTGAAACAAAATCTTGGTCTGGATTTTTACTTTCTGGACCTGAAATGTCTGCCTCTGCGTCCAGCAAGCCATTTGCTACCTAACAGAGTTTGTAGGGCAAGCTATTAAAAACAGCAGATGGCTTGTGTCTCTGGCTAGCGCACGCTGTTTTACATCTCTCCCTGCATGGGGTCCTGCTGAAGCTGTTACGAAAACTTGTTTAATAAGAGAAGGCAGGTCACATAAGACAGCATCAACATTTATAATAAGTAATAGCTGGATTATGTCATGTAAATATGTGCTCCATACGCACTTACTGTTTTCACTCAGGACTAATTTCCTTTAGCCCATACAGCCTGCAGAGTGAAGGGCTGTAATCTGTACCAACCACTGTATACTGACATCTCCTGCCCAGCAGGTGGTGGTAAGCATTTAACTCCCTTCTAAGAGGTTGTTGATTGCATACACATACATGCATATAAAATACAGTAATTGATGAAAAAGATTGAAGTGCAAATTTTATTTTTTTTGTTTCTAATTACAAATGAAAACGTTAAGTGTCGTGAAACAATGGTTAGACACTTGTTAATACTGGCAAAAAAATCTGAAAAGGCATTTGTAGTGTGCTTTTCTTGCTTTTCTCCATTTTATTAACATTCATGATTACAAAGATATTTTTGAGCAACAAATGCTTAGAAGAATGTAATTATGAAACTGCCTCCAGTTTCCTGTATAGCTCTGCAATTGCATGTAGCTCATGTATAAATGATTGGCCGGTGCTGTGAGCGTTAAGGTTAACTTTAAATGGAGAGCAGAAACTTATCCTGAGACTAATTATTTTTTTTCTTGCCTACAAACAGTAGGAACTGAGACAACCACACGCTTGTAGAAGCATTCGCATTTCCGAGGCGAAGACATTATGCTATCAGAGTAGCAAACCATGAACTTGCAAAAGCAGGTCTATGGTTCAGACAGTTGCTGATTTGGCTATTCATTGGCTACTAAGGTGTGTGTGTGTGTGTATATATAATATACATCAGTGACATCACTAGGTAAGAATATAGAAATCTCTAAAATTAGAATGTCTTACAGTGATGTCACTGACAGTTATTGCCAGACCTTGTCTAGAAGGTCACATTGTCCAAAGTGCATTTACTTAATTAAAAAAAAAAAGCAAGTATGACAAATTCAGCAAACCGAGGACTAGAATTATTCGGCTTGAAATCAGCATAGAAATTCAGCAAGCTGAGGGTTAGAAACCTTCAGCTTGGAATCAGCACAGAAATTCAGCATGCTAAGGGCTAGAATGTTTCAGCTTGAAATCAGGATAGAAATTCAGCACACTGATGGCTAGAGCACTCCAGCTTGCAATCATGTTAGAAATTCAGCATGCTGAGGGCTAGAGCACTTCAGCTTGAAATCAGGATAGAAATTCAACATTGCGAGGGCTAGAGCACTTCAGCTTGAAATCAGGATAGAAATTCAGCATGCCAAGGGCTAGAGCACTTCAGAATGCACAGAAAAATAACATACAAGCTATTTGCACGTTATCAAAAAAACCTTCCAAAATAAAATAAAAAAACTGTGCAAACAGTCACATTTCACAGATCTTAAGCTAAACCGGATACATACTTCAACAGTCACACAAAAAACTTCTCTGGCTTACATGCAGCGTCAGTGATACTCTTTCCCATTACGCTGGAGTCTAAATATCTGTGGTCACGTTGGCTCACTTAAAACCATGCCGTTATACTCATGGCTGACCTCCCTCGCCTGGCAAGTAAATCAAAACATACAATAATCTGTGCTGACAACAGCATCATGCTGTCTGTGCAGAATAACCTGTGTTTTGTGACTGAATTGAAAACATTTTGCCCAGGCTACACACAGAAAAGCAGGTTTTCGGTCTGCAAGAGGAAACTGCTGCGTGAATCAAAATACAAAGAAAATGTTTAAGTAGTGTTTCAAAACAATAAAAAAAAATCCATTTCATGTAAAGCAGATGCTGACAGGCTTTAACGCTGACCAACAAAGTTCAGACAATAAAGCTTTCAAAGGAACTTACAAAACAATGTTACCAAAACAATTGGTTCATTTTATAGTGTGCGTTAAATTGAGTGTTTTCAGGGCTAGAATACATCAAACATCACTTTAACTATCAGAAAAATCTGGCCTAGAATCTTTCAAAATCCCTTTCTCAATCCATGGACATTCTCCCTCTCCTGTGAGCACAGAGGTACATTGGCCAACAGTCATGTGACCATGTCCCTCTGATGCATCTACAATACAATGTAAAAAAAAAAAAAAAATTATATATATATATTTTTAATCATATGACTGTTACAAGTTCATCCCCCACCTACCAGAATTAATCCTCCAGTTTGGCACAAGTCCCTGATACATTCAGCAATCAAAATAACTCTTTTCAAAAATAAGCACTTCTATAAGCAATACATTTTGCTCTTAAATTCTGCTCTTGCATTATTTGTATGGATTTGCATAATTGTTCTCCTTGAGAGGCAGCAGTCAGCAGTGCATAGTGCCTGTTTTTCTCTCAACTCTGACACAGCGCGTGTAACACTTCTCAGAATGTCCGTTACCCTCCCTTTCCTGTACTGTGTATATATGACTATGTCGTGTTTCTGTATGAGGTTGCACTTCCCAGTTGCTGTCACCAGGTGGCCAGGGGCATCTTCAGGGTGCCCTGTTGGGGGCTGAGGGGGGAAGAAGGAATGCCGTTGTTGTTCCCGAAGAGACAGCTCAGCTTTGGGCGAAGATCGTTCCAGACCTCACCCATCTGGAAAGCGAGACGTCAGGAGCATGTCAGTCTGGGACTGCACCCCTTCTCAAAAGTGATTCATTAATTTAATATCTAAATGGCAATACAAATTTGGAACTACATTTTATAACTTCATATACAAAGCTTAACAATAGGTGTTTTTTATACCTCTCAACACAATGAAATGGTTAAACTATGACTTTAACTGTTGCAATTTTGACCAAAACTAGCCAGTAAATCGGCACGGTCTTCTGCAAGAGTTTAAATGAGAGGCAAGAGGGTATGAGTGGTCAAGGATGCTGGGGGCAGGGCCAATGTCATCCAATCACCTCGTGGTGGCCCTGAATCTGGGAGGTGACGAAGGAGCCCAGGATATGTGAGGTCATGGGCAGGTATGTGAAGACCAGCTGTGTCTCCTGGTGCAGGCAAAACAGGGAGAAGTAGTTGCGGAGCTCCATGGTCTGGATGGCATTCTCCTGCTGCAGGGGGTGGAGAGAAAAATGGGTGTTAGGGAAGGGCATGCACAAAGCCTGGCATCCATCCATCCATTTAACCCCATAATCCAGGATTTACAGACTGTACTGAGGCTCAATAAAATACTATTAATTAGAGACTATAAACTTTACAAGATTTACTACCGGTGGTAAAACTCAGTGATTTTAAAAGACCATATCCTCACCACCTGCCCCATGTGCCCCCCAAAAAAAAAAAAAAAAAAAAACACGCCTCGGACTTGAGGAGGTACCATTAGCCTCCTATTGTTTTAATGGGATGTTCATCAGACAGCGTATGTTGGACAGTAGACCCTGGCGCATTTAATGAGGAGCTTCTAATTTTAGTCTGAATCTCAAATCTTCGGCCCCTCCTGCACGTTCGGTGCGGGAGGAAGGGACTGTTAGGGGTCCAGGTCATGTATCAGCATAACCCCTCCCATGCCACGTTCTGAATTGTGATTGGGCAAATTTTATGCAGGGGAAAAATTACAAAAAACAACTATTAAAAACAAAACTGCATTTTAACTGAGTGAAGCCTGGATTGCCTGTTCGCAGAAATCAACCTGAGGTTATGAGTGAAGCGAAACCACAAAAACGGTGACAACCTTGGGCGCGTGGAGAGGGCTGATCACTGATCAGCCCAAATGAATCATCAGGTGAATCACAGTGGGGGTCAGTGTAACGTCATCTGCATCCCGCTGCAGTAAGGGTTTTTGGCCTCTCTGGCTCATCCTGATATTTTCCAGATTTGTGGAATATAAACAGTGGAGTATAGTGGAGTGGAGTATAAACAGTGGAGTATAGTGGAATGAAGTATAAACAGTGGAGTATAGTGGAGTGGAGTATAAACATAAGCAGTACAAACAACATCCCATTATAATGTGGATGCCTTGGTGGATTCCCTTCACCCCCCCCACCACCCCACCCCCGGAGGCACCTGCACGATGCGAGACTCCAGCTGCTCGACGGACACCTGCTCCTTGGGTTGGGCAGCGGCAGTCATGGCCTGCCTCTTCATCACGCTGTACTTCTGCAGGGCGCGCTGGTGCTCGTGGAGGACCCCCTTCTCGTGCCGCTCACACAGGTCCTGCTCACATACAGACACGTCCGCTCTGTGAGTGTAGCCATTTAACGGGAGTGTTTAAGTAGGAATCTGGGTACGTGGATGGGATGGTCATGTGACATCTCTCGCTCCTGTGCCTTGTGGCAATTACATACGACTGGCTTCCGTTTTCCTTCTCAGCCCCAGAAAGCAAGCCCAAATATCTGAACCCAAACACTGCTATAGTTCTTCCAAAGACCCAAAACTCCCAAAAACATCTGTCTTTTGTCATTTTTCCTCCCCAAGCTTTTGCTACTTGTACCCAAAGTCATTTTTCTTTCTGACCATCTCTGGGTCACGTGATCATGCCTTCAGAAATTTAGTTCAACAAAAAAACCATGAACTGAGACTGTGATCATTTGCCTGCATGACTATATGAGACTGTTCGGTTATAATTAAGTCTAGTATATTTATCTAAATGCACTGAGCCGTGATACACAGCTCCAACCTGCGATTTAGGACCCTCAGGCATCCTCACGGGCAGCCTCTACATGCCCTGTTGAGAGTGCCAGTTATTTTGATGCATACAAGCACATCGGGCTTTCTAAGACATTATACTGTCATCCCTTAGAGAGCTATGTAACCTAAATATTCAACATGGTAGGCTGATTTAGTTGTTCTGGAGCAAATCATCCAGTAATGTTACATAACAGCTACCTGTATTTACGCTCTGTGCTACTCCTGTGTTCCTCAATCTCATTGCCCTCTCTTTCCTGTTTCACAGGACCTTCAGGCACATGCCTGGCCAGCCTTCAGCGGGCTCTCAGCCAGTTTCCTGTTATTGAGTCTCTGTAGGCACACAGAATGACATACTGCTTCACTACTCTCCGACACATCCCTCGTTTATTCTTGCTCAGCAGAATTCTTTCCAAGCAGCCCTACTCATATTTTTTGCTTTTTTTTGCATTATTCCTGGCAGTATATGTCGTGTCAGAAGGTGTACTCCCCCTATGAACTATAGGCACTCACTTTGTATGACTGCAACAAGTCCAGGAAAAGATGAAGTTTTTCCACAACATCGTCCTCTTCTCTTCTTCCCTTCAAAAATATACAAAAAAAAAAAACAAAAACATGTTGGTAAGCAGGTAGATTATCCAGAATCGTGGGTGTTTGGCATGTGTTCTTACCTGCTGGGCCGCTTTGTCTGACAACAAGGCAAACTCCACAGACAGGACCTTCAGGGACTGCCGGAGGGGGGCCCAAGTGGAGCTGGGAGAGGCCAGGGCGGGGAGGGCTGATGTATCCGAGCCCATCGTGCTGCGTCGGTACAACAGCCAGCTTCCTTTAACGTGCCACATTTCAAGCCACACAAAGGGAACTGAAAATAAACCGTCCCCATGGCTTCTGTACGCTGCCTGTGCCTAATGTTTACATCCATCTCTCAGGTTTGTGTGGGTGGTGTATATATTACAATGTGATAAAAACCTGCTATTGCGACATTGTGGGGACCACCTTTATAAAAATCTCAAACTAAAAAAATAACTAAAAACTAAAAATGCCAGAAGTTAAAGTTAGGGCTGGGTAGGGTTACAGTTGTTATTGTTTGTATTTGAGTTTTAACCATAGAAGTTCATGGAGTCCCCAAAAAAGATATGAATACGTGTGTGTGTGTGTGTGTGTGTGTGTGTGTGTTTGTGTGTGTGGATTAGGTTTATATTCCGTTGTGGGGACCAAAGGTCCCCCACAATGTGATAAAAACTTGTTATTTTTTCAGGTCCCCACAAAGATCTGTGAATGCAATCAAAAACCTAAAAATGCCAAAAGTCTCGTATTTTGTTTGGTTCCTTATGGTTAAGGTTAGGGCTGGGTAGGGGTTCAGGTTGTCATGTTGGGATTAGAGTTCTCCCCATAGAAATGAATGGAGAGTCCCCACTAAGATACAATTACAGCCCTGTGTGTGCATATATTTGTGTGTGCGTGTTTCTTGACAATTAGGCCCACATGGCTATTTTACAGACAGGGAACTCGTAATAAAGACCAGCAGCAGGAAGGCGAAGACGCCTTACTCAAACACGCCAGCTAGGTGGCGCACCGTACCTGAGCTCCCGGCCGAAAGCCAGCAGATCCACCGCATTCTCCCTGGAGCGTTCCGCCATCTTCCCCGCCTTGTCCCGGATCTTGTGGAAGCTGTTGGAGATGTTCCTGATCAGCTCCTTGCTGGATGCAAATTGGGCCTGGATGTCCACAGGCAGGTGCTCCTGTAGCCCAAAAAAATGGAGCTTGGTGTTAGCTTCTCCAGGCCTTACCACCAGCATCTCTTTATGCAGCAAAATAAGGGACAGATTTCCGGTGACTGACCTTGGCCTGTGTGGCAGTGCTGCATGTCATGAATTCATCTCCGGTCCTCCGGAAGATCTCTCGCAGTTTGTTCTGCACGTCCTGAATAAGGACAAACAGGCATATTTCAAGCTTTGACAAGTTGCTGCTCTCTCATTTTCCCAGAATCCCAGTCATTCATTCTGGGACACACCCAGTATGCTGGAACACTTCCATTATGTGTATGCGGGGAAGGCGAGCCACTGTGTAACACACAACAAAGAAAGAGAGCGGCTTACCGCTCACAAACAGCACAACTACACGACTATCAGAGGATGGGCAACGTCATCCTTAAATGTATTTCCTGGACCTTCAGAGGCCAATGAGCCAGCTGGAAGTTAGTGCAGCTAGGGTGAGCATAATCCAAACCCATTATACCGCCCCCTCCTCCCACTAAAGCGACTGGGCAACACAACATTCAGCTTCTACTTCCCATTAAGGGCCACTATCCCTCTACCAGCCGCTCCTGCAACAAGGAGCTTTTATAGACACACCACATGCACAACTCAATCTGGCTAGTTAATACATGTTAAATGTAAAATTATAGCATAATTAATTAGGCAGTTTAATCTGGATATATAAAAATTACATATCCAGTACTACAGAATCTAGGCTGAGTCCCAAAACAAAATAAACTGAAACAAGGCTACTGGGACAGCAGAACATCTCAAATGATAATCAATTATGCATTATAACATCTGGTGAGCAACTACATTCTTCCGTGCAAAGAATCCATGTGACTAATACAGTAACTCACATCAGTTAAAGGGGAAAGCGAAAGATAAATCTGATTATATCTAGAGGCATACACATGAAATTAGCTTTTTGTTTTCTTACATAAGCAAAATATATCACTGTTCTGATCACCCCACCATAACCTTGGCCATGTGTAAACTGTAATTATTGCAGGGATTTTGGTATAAAAAGTCTAAACAGTACAAATGACTACATTCTGATTGGCTGGAATGTCCACCACCAATCACATGACCTGACCTGCCCCATTCCCCGCTCCCAGTCACATACCGAGCCACTGAAGGTCAGGAAGGTTTTCAACAGCTCATCCTCGGAAAAGAGGGGGTGTCGGGCCACCAGGTTGATGAAGCGCCCCAGGGCCCGTCTCCGGCCCTCGATGAATTCCCGCTCCGATGTTGACTTCAGAACTGGGGGGCGGGCAAGAAATGGCAAGAGGGCGGCGTTAAAAAGAGGAAGCGCAGCTAGTCAAGTGTAACTGAATTCCCTTCAGCGGTACCCACAGCAAAAGGGGGAAAACCGAACTGCCAACATAGGCCTCGCATCCACCCCTCCATCTTTGCAGTGTTACTGTTCAGCCCTCCACCCAAAATAAGCCCCCAGTCCATACCTCCCTTCAGCATCCGTTTGGGGGGGAGGGCCGGTACCATTCTGTAGGCAAACCTCTGCAGCAGAAGCTCATGGAAAACGTCAAAATCGCTGTATCTGCGATAGACCGACATCTTGAATCTCTGCAAGAGTACAAACAGAGTACCACATGACCTAGGGGCCGCGGAGGGAATGCCTACCAAGACAAAGTCAACATGAAACCTCGCTTCATAGAGATAAATGGTGCTGCTGGAATGAACCAAATCAAGAACAGGCAAAGGTATGTTTTGAGAATGTGTTATACATGGATTCTGCCAAACCACCCCCCCCCCATCAGAAACAGGCGGAAGTTAGGCTGTCATGCAAAGTGGTCACGCCACTTCATGAAAAGTTTTGACGTGCTCTCCATGGGTCACGCGAAGAAGATGACGCCTTTTTCCATTAGTAACAGTACTCCACAGCCAGAGTATCTCACTCCAGGAGTGACGTAGCACTCTCTGGCCAACGCTCCATCCATAAATCACACTTATTTAATACAGGTGACCCAGTTTTCTACGTAATTTAATGCTTCATAATTAGGAAAGATTAGCACAATAAATACTATTCAGTATTCTGTCATTATTCTGTTAACAGTAGGTATTATTCAAGGATTTAGCAGTTGTTTTGGTTAGTTGTTTGAATGCGGTCGTTTACCATCAAGGCTCAGTAAGTCGATGGTGCTGTGAGGTTATAGCTCTATTGTATGCTGACACTCTGCACCTTTGCATAAGCAGTTTGTTGTAGACAAACTAATAGGTCATGTGTGCATCCTCTGGTGCCACTATGACACTAATTAAAACATACTATCTATAGTGTTCTGTCCAGGGTTGGGCTTGGCTGTCACACAGACACTCAAACACAGCTCTATTTGCTTCCCTAACTAGCATAGCTTAGCTTAGTTGTCACCTCACCTGGCTGGTCGTCTGGTACTCCACGTGCTTCAGGAAGAGGCCCTTCTTCTCAGGAATGAGCTCCACCGTCACAACGTCCCGTTTCAGCAGCTGCTCCAGTGTCTGCTGCACCGCCAGGGGGCTCTCCTCAGCCCGCCGCATCTTCAGGGCCTGCAGGCCGCTCGGCTCACCCAGCTCAGGCTTGGGAAACTCTGCCAAAGTTTGAGTCCTGAGCCCTGCTGTTGTACCTTTGAGCAAGATCCTGTCCACTTTGTTTGAAACTGGTAATCACTCCCTTATGTTACAATAACAACAATAATAATAATATGAAAATAACAATGACAAATAAATAAAAAGATTAATCCAATCCAGGGTCACCCGTCGCCTGCGATTCTGCCTGAATAATGGCTGGATGGAAGAAGACTGAGAAGAGTGTGGCCCCAGTCTGGTTCACATCTGCTACAGAATCCCATGTCGCACAACCCCAGGCTACAGAAGGCGAGAGATCCTTCCAGCTAACGAGCATCACCGCACCCACTGTCAGCAATGAAAGTCGGATGATATTACCTTTGGTGATTACAGCAGCCTCACGACGTGGAAAAAGGTTAATCTCACCCGACAGGTCTTTAAAAGACGACTGAAAACAGCGGATTCTATGAGAAAAACTTTGCGGCTGCAAGGAAACCCAAGACCTTGACAGGCCTGGGGAGGGACGTGCATTGGAAGCACCTGTGCCCACTGTGCAAGTCACCCCCCCTACCCAATCCCAAAGAAGGAGAACATAAGAGCACCCTGGTAATATCTTCTGCACAGTGATATGATTGATGTGTGTAGTTTGGTTGAAGAAAATAGTTCCTACATTGAACAGTTTGCTACAAAGTCTGTGGATTATCTTGAGTAACCGGGTCATGATTTCCGGTACGAGACAATGCTGTAGAGTTTTTCTAATGTATTTTTTGGCGCTTTAAACACCATATAAAGAATGCCATTTAGTCCCATTATATTTGAGAGAAGACCGACATTTCTACGTGCGATATCTCCAAAACTAGGTAACCCCCAGTAGAACAATACTACTAAACAGAAAGGCAGCACTAAAGCCCCTGTAAAGCATCATTTTTCAGTTTTAGGATGAACTGCCCCTTCAACTCTATAACTCAGACAGCGGACACTTTCCAGAATGAGCAGCAATGTTATACTGTGTGTGACAAGCATGGTCCCTGTGTAGCTTAAAAAATTAATTTTGAATTTTGCTGGTGAAAGTAGGGGGGGGGCAGTGCAAACGAGATTTTGCAAACAGTAGGCTGAGGATTTCAGGTTGTCGGCCAGCTTTGGCCCTGCCTGACCTGTAGTACAGTGGGTAAACAGCCAGGCTCGTGACCAAAACACGGACAGCTTAGCAATAGTCACTATAGTCACTATACTTAAAGCAGCATGAAATGGGCCTATTTACCAACTGTTCTTAAGAAATTTCTTTTTAAAACCAACTTATGCAGTTTTCATGAAGACTCTGACATTCATCAGTGTTTTCTTTCCATTTGCTCTACATCTGTTTTTAAATCACTTCTCAAAACACATGTGTTTACTTTGGCCTTTGGTACAGCATGACATGTTGACATTTTTAATTTGTTGTTAATTTGTTTTTATTATATTTTTTTACTTTTATTCTATTTTTATTTTATTATTTTTAGTCTATTTTATTTATTTTAATTTTAATGTACTTTAGATGTGATTTTAAGTTTATTTTTGGCATTTATTCTTATTCTGATACACTTGTAGCACTTTGGTCAACTTCGTTGTGTGAAAGTGCGTTATAAATAAAGTTGCCATTGCCATTGCCATTACCATTTTCTTATTTGTGATTTTTTTTCTTTGGCAAGAACAGAATCTATGCACATTTGAATGTTGAATTTTGTGAAAAAATAATAACTTACTGTGTTGTTTTTAAGTTATACAGTTAATATAGGACTTAAATTGCAATAATATTTTTATTTTAAAATATTGTAAATTATAATTACCGTGGTGAGCCGAATATAACAGTTTTTTCCCCCTCAAAATTCATCAGAAAAAGTGCAAAAAAGAAAACACTGACAAATGTCAGAATCTATATGAGAACAGCATGAGTGGGTTTTAAGAATAAATTTATTCTCAATATCAGTAAGTGAATGAGGCCCAATGTTCTTAAAAACTTGCTATTTAAATAAAGATAACAGATGATTTTATCCAAAGCACAATACAATATTTATGAGTTTGTGCAGTTTTACTGAAACAATTCAGCCAACTACAAACCCACTGACCCACTAAAATGTAGAAACAGATGCTGGCTGGCCGAGGAATTGTCCATCGCTTAACGCTGCAAAGTAAACATGAGGCTGATGGGAAAGCTGGGCCGCCTACCTTGGATGCAGTTCTCCAGCAGTTTGGGAGTGGGCTGCTTTCCCTGCTGGGCGAAGGCGATCAGTGCCAGACCTCGGTACAGCGAGAGTTTGGACAGGGAGCCATCTCCGCAATCCAACTGTTCGGCGATCTGCAATGCGAGGGGCTCAGTCCGCGGCTTTCTGGTTTAATCCTTAATCATGCTCATCAGAACCTCACAGCCCACCTCTCCCCCTACAGGACCACACAGATTCCTGTAGCCTGCTAGCAGCGTACAGGGACACCACTGGCTACTGCCAATCACAGACCAGAGTGGCACTGAGCTACCCCCAAGCAGTCAAGACGACACAAACAAAAACAATGTGCTTTCCTCAAAACCAATGTGGTTGGGATGAGGTTTTGAGAGTCCAGCATAAATGGAGCACAGAATTCAGACCATGACATACCAGATATGAGCCCATCTATGCCAGAAAAAAACAGTCAACCATTTGCTGATACGCCAAGGAAGATTCACTCAACTCTGTTAAACCAAAACTGATCCCACATCCAGCACTGCCCCACAGTTCCTAAAAGCTGCCCGAAAACACCTGTATGAGGACCAGGAGAGAAAGCGTAGGGCCTGGGGATGAGCCGAGCCAAATGCGGCAGGCTGCAGCAGCCTTGCTGTCGTAGGGACTTCACAGACCAGCATCTCTTCCTCTTAGCATAACAGATCTTCTTATCTGCATTACATTTCCTGCCTCTGTCCCTCTGCGACCCGCCAACCACAAGGTTGCCAACGCTCACATATCTGGCATGACACTCACGCTTTCTGACTGTCACGCTCACGGAAGACATCTTACGGCAATTCTATATTATTCCACTATAAACCTAAAATTGGCTACATCAGAAGCATTTGGGTACAGACTACAGACTATTTACAAGGTAATAAAACAGTTACATTCATGTCAATGTGTGTGCAGACTTCTCTCGAAATGAAAATCTCATGCTGGCAACCCTGCAACCAGTGGGGGCTTTTAAGCCGGTCGATGTGGGACTGACCTATCTGAAGCTACAAGGGTACAAACTCAGCCACAGCATTAGCAGGTAATTCCCTTGGAGAAGTTCATTAGACTCTGAAAGTGGAATTCCACTTGGCGTATTTGATCACAATAATGCCCGTGCTGAAACTTGTCTCATTGTGGGCCAGCAGCAAGCCCCCCCAACCTACCTCTGCTCACATTATAAATGCATCAGTGCTGTCCACTTGAGCACACTCTGCCACTCAGCGATTCTCCCTCTTCTGACTGAATTCTCATTTGCCCCAGAATTTTATCTTCATATTCTAATTCTGTTCTTTTACTGTCCAATTTATTTATTTCCTCCTCCTTTTTTTAACTTGGGAGGACATCCTGCTCTATCATTCATTATAAATTAGTCCAATCTGAGAAGAATCTGAGCAAACGGGAAGTCAACCACAGAATGCATCTCTGATTCAGACAGTATGTCAACTGGAGATTACACTGGCGAGAATTCAATGTTTAAAAGTTAATTTCACTAGTACAAAAATCATTTTAAACCTTCCAGTTAGATATCCAAAACAAAAACAGTTATAATTACCTCATAATAAGCTCAATGTTTATTCAAAATTGAAATTTTCCCTGTCATTACATAGACACACCTTATAACTAAGCACTGAAAACAAATTAAAGTAATGGGTGTGGAATAGTCATTAAAACCATTTTAATACAACAGGTTATAGAAGTCAATTAACAGCCATAGAAGTCAATTATTTAAACTTGTTTGATGCAAGTTCTAAATCGACTAACACCAAACTGGGTAAACGTGCAGGCTAACATGCTAACTAAGCCACTTATGGGCAACAGGCGACCCGCTGAGGCGTCTCTCACCTGGTTCTGCACAGCGACCGGAAGCTCAGCCTTTCTGAGTAACCTCTGGAAGACCTGGGCCTGGATCATTTCATCCTTCTTGCTACACAAAGCCTCATATACCTCTCTGTAATAGGGTGGCACAGACCCTGCGATTGCAATAAAAACAAAAGACCTTAATTATTATATTTACAGACACAAAGACCTCAAAGTAAAGAGAGAATATCAATACTGTGCATGATGTAAAAACTGCGGACAAAACCATGAACATCAGACCAAATCAGATTAAACTGGCTGACTGTCTGCATCATTGTCCTGTACCACTGTGTATCCAGTGGCCAGAGGAGCAATTAAAGTGAAATTATGACATAATGTACCTGATTATAGGCCACGCTTCTCCGAAACAAAGAAGGAAGTCTTAAGATTTAATCCACTTTGGATCCGTGTAAACTAAGCAACCAAATTCTTTAGTAATAAAAGTTATTGCACTCTTCAGTCAAATGTAATCCATTTTATACAGCTGGAATTTTTTGTCTCTTTCCCCCCCCCCCCCTCCCTCCCTCTTCAGGCGCAGTGCTTTGCTTATATAGAGCAGGTCCCCATGGTGAGTCTTTAACCAGAAACCACGGCATTCTCAGCCCACAGGCTTTATGAAGCGCAGTACACATTTACACCAGTAAAAGGGAAAGAAGTCAAACGAGGTAAAGTCTACATGTAGATAATTACAAACAAGAAAACCTGGAAAACAGCCCTGTAACGTTCTGTCATGGGGGAATTCTGGACACTGCCTAACTTCCACAAAAGCCACAAAGACTAACTTGTTTAATGCGCTCTCAGGTTTCCTTGTGGTTAATCGTCTTCCTCTTAAAAGGAGAACTCCAAAATTTTCAACCTCTCGGTGGAATCCAGCTTTTGTACTGTCTTCTTCACAGCAATATTAGTGAAATCTTCTCTGCAAAATGATATTCAGTTCAATTCAGTTAATTTACGCCTAGGACGTCTGTTTTGGCTATAAAAACATACCTAGGCAGGGGAAATAAGGTGATTTCAAGGGCCTCTGAGAGACAGGGGGCCTAGAAAATGTGGAAAATAACTGGATTGGTCTGTACGGGGGGCAATATGACATGCCTTCATGGGGCCCAAAATCTCTAGCAACGCAATTGAACATACTTATAACCGGTTTGACCACGTTTAAAAACGTAAGACAGGAAGACTGCAGCTATTTTTTCCCCTTTTACGCATCTGTACATTTTATTGCCAAAGCAGATCTAGAAAAACATAAAGGTCATATGTTTTGCGAACTGTCGGAGATCTGATGGATTTACTTCGCTAATTTAAAAGCCCGCACAGACTGAGCTATTCTACTGTATCGCTTTTCTGCTTAAATGCAATGATTGCGGGGGTAATGTAATGCATTCAGCCCATGAAAACTGTCCCATCAGTCCGAAGGCCACGGTACGAAGAAGGGGCCGGGGTACATATCACAGTGTGGACCATGATGGGGTATTAGTTACGCGTCAGTAATACAGAAACTCATTCGATCACATTACACGACACAGCACAACCAGCGAAAACAGCAGAAAACTTAAAAGAAAAGGTTTACGGACAATTTAATATACCAATTTAATATGCAATATGTCAAATATGAACTGAATACGAATGTATAACAAAATTACAATAAATATTAATTCTCATTCTGGTAGTCCTTATTTTGGTGCTGGATATTTCTGACTAGCGCGTTTTACAAAGCCAGCATGCTTTGCAACTGTGTTGGAGCTCATAAGACAGAGTAAGGAGAAGTAAACAGAGCAGTGTTTTACCGAAACTAATCAAAATAAACATAGTAACACATCTGCTGACCTTCGTTCACATCGCGTTTGAAATAAGTGAAGCGACATCCAGCACGCGCAGTAAATAAATGGGCTTAAAGGAGACTTACCTTCATTGATCTCCCCGTCCATAGTGCTGCTTGTCATGTGAGACGCACTGAGCCTCCATGTGATTTCCTGAAGGAGAAAAAAAATGTTTCCTTAGTCTTAAAGCCGTAGTGTAGTTCTAGGACCAAGCTATGTGAGCGTAGGAGCATTTCATTTACACTTCATTATAAAGAAATATTAGTGCATTTTTCTTCCCCATCCAATAATAATGATAATGATATTAATAATAATAACAACGGCAACAATAATAAATATAGCGATGACTATAATAAATAATAATAATAATGATTAGTTGTTATTTTTTTATGTAACACAATGTTCACAATTTTTTCAATATTTTAAGATATGTTCCCCTAACTGTAATACACTGAGTCGTTTCTACATCCGCATTGCGTGCGTCTTGTTACTGTCACTATTTAATTTCCAAATTATTTTTCTAGGACCCGACATCAGTTCATTAATTCATGATTCTCCTGTTCATAACCCCCACATGTTCTAAAAAGAAGCTGACAGAGCGCTCTTCGCTCGGTACACTGTAAGGCGTGTCCCGTTTTAAATTGCAACTCTGGTTTTCAGTGAGTATAATACGTGATTACGACAACAGTGCCCTTTTATCCTTATTGTCCTTCTTGGTTTATATGTATGGATATTATTATTAAGGGTCCAAAGCATGAAATGCTTATGGACCATTATTGTTTTTC